TGTGTGTGTGTGTGTGTGTGTGTGTGTGTGTGTGTGTGTGTGTGTTTGAGAGAGAGAGAGCAGAATAAGAAGACAGTCCTTGCAAAGACATTGATGTTGGTTTCTTTTCTTTTATCAGGGGCAAGCTTGTTCTTCTCAGAGAGTTGCTTCAATATTAATGTACTCAGCATTTCGATCATTTCTTTATGTGGAAGCACACTGGAGAACTGAAAAACACAGCTCTTTGTTCACTCATGAGTCCGTGCTGTGCAGAAACATCTGGATTTGCATCATCATCTCCTCATTCTGGAATGTTTCCTGCTGCTGCTGATGTTCACTTTAAGTTCCAATAAACCTACTTCACCCTGAATTCCATTTATATGCAAATGTCTCCTTATTCCTCTTTTGAATGGATAGGAGTCCCAGCACCGCGTGCTGATGGCCAGTTGTTGGCATGCCCTGATTCCACTGGTGGTCTAGTTCAGACCTGTCTCTTACAAAGAAACCCTTCAGCTGCTTCATAGACTGTCAACCGCGGAGCTGGGAATAGTTTCAAGATTGCTCAGTGGTTAGTGTGAGCACACTTCTATTTCAGATATGTAGGGACAGAAACCCACGCAAATGAGCTTAAGCAAAATAAATAAATAAAAAGGTGGAGAGGAGTTTATTGCATAGATACAAGGATGTGTGTGGGTTTTGGTGTCTACAGTAGCCTAAGGGTAAGAAGTACCACTAGTCTCAGAAGGAACTGGAACCAGGAATTGAATGGGACACTAAGACCCTAGACAACACCCCTTTCTCCCTGGGCGGCATGCCATCTCTTCTCTCTCCTCTGCGTTCTGTTTCTTCCTTCTTTCTATGTGGCTGATGGCAAAGAAGGTTGAACCCCAAGTGGTCCTCTTCCCTATGGCTTCTACATCTTTGCAGTTAAAAGAGATCCCATCTAATCTTTCTGAATTCCAGTTCTAATGCTTGTTGAGACTGTTCGGTTCCAGAGTCCACTGTCCCCACTCATTACTAGCCAGACGTGAAGTCACAGTGGGGTTACATGGAGCCCCGGGGTTCCTCCTTAATGAGAAAGAGATCTCAGAGTTGCAGGGGACCCCAAATGCCCCTTACCATATCAAATGATAGTTCATCTTTTAAAATTAGGGCCCAACTGGAGATCCCCTTGCAGAGGGGTCTCGGGGAGGAGATGAGCCAGTCAAGGTGCGATGTAATAATGATGAGAAATACAACCTTCCTCTAGTTCCTAA